GTCTGTCCTAGGGGTACCTAGTGTTAACACCTATAGTGATAGTGATTAGTGATAGTGATTAGCCTTCGACCTCAGAAATGTTACCTGATCAATGCAATGTGGATAACCAGGAAGAAGCTTACTCCACACTGCAAGGAATTCAGCAATGATGATTAGCACTGTGTCCTCAACTGCGGTAAGTCTTAACCATTACATATATACATACATATACATATATATAGATGATATAGAAGGGATCTGGAATCTGCTGTCCTAACTATGCATTTAATTTTAAATTAATTCCCTAATTGACATTACCTAATCATAATTTAAAGTGATACAGCATTGTGTATTAATAATATCTAAAAACTTATTCTTAAAGTTAACAGCCTAACTATTATAAATCATTTATAAATCAATAATAATAACCCTATAAATCATTTATATTCCTGATCAGCACGAAAAGCATAATCGACTTTTAGTACTTTCAAACCTCCTGGCTCCATCTAACCGTGAAGCTTATAAATATCATTGACACCCATGTATATTTCAGGAGCGCCATCTAGCCTTTTTAGAGGCAAGTTGCATAGCCAGTTATCCTTACTATATTTATTTAACTTGGGCGACCTCTGGCGACAAACTTGTGTAAAAACTTTATTACATTTTCCACCAATTGTCAAAATTAAGAACTACAAGAGAGGATCTATACTCTGAACCGCTCTCTCACTCTTAGCTTCAACATTCCGTTGCGAGGGAAATCAATCTCAGTAACGGCACTTGCAACGGTTTATCAACGACAAGGAATGAAAATTATGAGCGCCTTCGCGCAAAGAATAACGGGGATACGAGAAAATAGAAAAAAGTTGTGTCACTCACTCGCTTACATTGCTTGTTGTTGCTGCTGCTTAAAGATCCAAACTTTGAATTAGAGGACGAAAATAAGAAGGCATGGCACACCCACTTACATAATATCTTCACCATAAAAAAACAACAAAATTCAGTAGCCAAAAACAATGTACTGATCTTGGCCACGCACACGTATACATACACACAAGAAAAAAATGGCGACAGGAGCCCGACTTTAGTTTTGGGGCTTTCCGGGCTTGCTCCCATTTTACTAACACTTTCCACTGTCGGAGCTCACTGTTTTCACGCACTTCTAACACCTGGCAGTGTTTTTCCGCCGTTAGTTTTCCGATTTTTCTAGTTTTCAGCGATCTCCTTGTGCAGCCATATTTTTTTCGTCCGCTTCGTCCAGCTGCTTTGGAGTAAATGACAGGAGTGGGAGAAGCGCTCTGCAAATATGGAATGCAGCGAAGTGTAGGCGAGAGAGAGGATGCAGCAATGTCGCCAAATTCAAATGGACTCTCTGAAAACCCTTTCCACTTTTTGCCCAATAGGTGGTCGCTGGCTTTTATCGTATTTTCCCAATAGGAAATAAATAGTAAATAAGTTTAAAAAAAAACCAACTTGGTTTATCGCAAATATTAAGCCTTTCTTTTATACCCTTTCAGGATATTATAATTTAAATCAGAAATGACACATTGAAAGACTCGTTTCCGACCCTATAAAGTATATATATTCTTGATCAGCATGAAAAGCAGAGTCTATTTTTAGTAATTACAGGACCTCCCGGCTCCATTGGACTGTGAAGCTTATATATCCCTGATACCCATATATATTTCAAGATCGCCATCTAGCGTTTTCACAGGCAAGGTGTATAGCCATTTATCCTTACTATATTTATTTAACATTGGCGTCCTCTGGCGACAAACTTGTGTAAAAACTTTATTACATGTTTAATAACTAGTTTTTAGTTTTAAAAGGATTTGAGTATGCAGATTTGTTAACCTTTTAAAAACTAGCACAGAAAAGCTATCCGTATTGAAATATGTATATGTTTTTTTGGCTTAGTTATGATATTTGAGAAACTTTGATTTACCCAAAATAATTAGCATATAAAATATCGATTTAATATACACACTTTTTAGGAGTTCTTGTAAGGCCAAAAAGACAATGATTGCCATTAGTCTTATAGATATATTTCTAATTACAGTTAAAATATTAATTAACAGATGAAAATTCGACAAAATATGTAACTACATTTATAAATTTAAACATCATAAAAATTTTTAAAAAATTATCCAATGTTGAATTTTTTAAATATAAAGTCCAATATTTTAGTATCTTAATAAAAGTCAACACAGAAAACATTTCAAAGTTGAGATAAAGGCCCATTGGCTTTGTTATGGTCGATTTTACACATAACTTCAAGGATATACACACTTTGGCTTCTCAAAGTTCGCTTTTTTACAAATTGTCAAGTAAAAACAGGTAAACAAAGGCAGCTTCCCCAACGCTCCAATTGTCAAAATTGAGAACCACAAGAGTGGATCTATACTCTAAACCGCTCTCTCGCTCTAAGCTGCAACATTCCGTTGCGAGAGCAAGCAAACTCAGTAACGGCACTTGCAACGGCAAGGAATGCGCAAAGAATAAGGGGGATACGAAAAAATATAAAAAAAATTGTGTTTCACTCACCAGTTGATATTGCTTGTTGTTGCTCTTGCTTGCAGATCCCAACGGAGAATTAGATTATGAATATAAGAAGGCAGTGCACACCCACTTATTCTTTAGGATCACCATAAAAAAACAACAAAATTCAGTAGCCAAAAACCATGCACTGATCATGGCTATGCACACGTATACATACACACAAGAAAAAAATGGCGACAGGAGCCCGACTTTGGTTTTGGGGCTTTTCCCGGCTTACCCCCACTTTACTAACACTTTCCACTGTCGGAGCTCACTGTTTTCACGCACTTCTAACAACTGGCAGTGTTTTTCCGCCGTTAGTTTTCCGATTTTCCTAGTTTTCAGCGATCTCCTTGAGCAGCCATATTGTTTTCGTCCGCTTCGTCCAGCTGCTTTGGAGTAAATGACAGGAGTGGGAGAAGAGCTCTGCAAATATGGAATGCAGCGAAGTGTAGGCGAGAGAGAGGATGCAGCGATGTCGCCAAATTCAAATGGACTCCCTGAAAACCCAATAGGTGGTCGCTAGCTTTTACCGAATTTTCCCAATAGGAAATAAATAGTAAATAAGTTTAAGAAAAAAACTAAGTTGGTTTATCGCAAATATTAAGCCTTTCTATTATACCCTTTCAGGATATTATAATTTAAATCAGAAATTACGCATTAAAGGACTCATTTCCGACCCTCTAAAGTATATATATTATTGATCAGCATGAAAATGAGAGTCGACTTTTAGTAATTTCAGGACCTCCCGGCTCCATTGGACTGTGAAGCTTATATATCCCTGATACCCATATATATTTCAAGATCGCCATCTAGCGTTTTTACAGGCAAGGTGCATAGCCATTTATCCTTACTATATTTATTTAACATTGGCGTCCTCTGGCGAGAAACTTGTGTAAAACCTTTATTATATTTTTAATCATTTGTTTTTAGTTTTAAATAATTTTAAAGGATTTTCAACTTAAATAAATATCGTAAAAGGTTCAATGGACATTTCTATATCTGAAACAAAAGGTATCAATATTATTTCTGGTAAAAAATCTTACCTTTTTCCTCTCTTAAGAAAACACTTGCAAAAATTCATTTGTTTAATTTTTATTATTAAAAATTTTCTTTATATTGCCTTTGTTGTTGTTTGTTTTTGCTCATTTGCTGTGACCGTTCGTTCGTTCATTCTTCTCGCTTCTCCCCCGCGTCTCTTTGCTTCTTTTCTTGCATTGCTTTTGTATATTTCTATCGTTTCATTTTCATTTTCATTTTAGTTTCGTTTATTATAATTTTTTCATAGACAAATATTGTTTCGTTTTGTTTTGTTGTATGTTCCTTCTCCGAAAGGTAGGAGGAACGTGAACAGGAACAGGGGGATGAGGCGGAGGCTGATTTGGCTTGGGATTTGATTGGATTACTTCAACAGGATTTCGTCTCGTTCTCCTCGTTCTCCGCTTATATCGTATACGTATTTTTACAATTACAAAATAAATACTAAGAGAGAAAAAAATATATATGTATAAAGGAAAACAAACCATACAGCTTGAGCTTACACTTAAAACATAAATAACAAAGCCAAAGAATAAACAAAAATAAAAGAGTTAACAATTCAAGTAAAACATAAATCTAAAATATACAAGTATAAATGTTATGTGTACACTATATCTTTCCGCGTTGGAGTTACATGACATATTCCTTCAATTAAATGTAATTAAATTAAGCACAATTATTGGAAATTGGTTTATTTAATGCTATTACAGGGACTGCCTTTGAGCGGAACAGGTTGGGCAATAGGAGGGCTTTGGGGGCTATATATCAAGGTATCAAATATCGAATCTATATCAGTTATATATCAAATTTCGGTTGATAACGTGTCTTACTTAAAAATCACAGCTAAAAGGCAAGCATAAAAGTAATTAATTGATTACGGGAAAAACAACATCAACGAGCTTCATCTACTTTTGCTTTCTCCTCCTTCTCTTACTCTTTATCTTCTTCTCTCCCATCTCTCTCTGTTTCGTGCCCAATGGGGAAATGTTGGGTTTTCTTTTGTGGGAAAGCTGAAGATGAGTTGGGTTTCTTTAGGGACTGACTCTCTTTCTCTCTCTTCTCTTCTCTTATTTACAGTTTCCGTTATTCGCTTTTACTTGACTACATACGCATAATTAATAATATTATATAATAATCGTCATATTTTCCATTTCATTAAATAGTTCATATTTATATAGTATAGCACCGAGTACAAAAAAATGATCAATAAACAGAGTTTTTCCTTTTGTTTTTTGTTTTGAATTTTGTTTACTTCGTTTCGTTCTTCCTTTCACTTTTGGTTTTTCTTCTTCGTCCAGTTCTCGTTTTGTTTGTTTTTTTACGATTTTTCTGTTTTTTTTTTCAATTTTTTTTAGCAAAACTAACAATCTCTTTCTTTCTTTCTGCTTTGCTTACTTATGTAACTTTTGTTTTATTTGTTTGTTTGTTGTTTCTTGGTGTTTGTTTTGTTGATTTTTGTTGGTTTCTTTTATGTTTTTTGTTGGATTTGCTGTTCTTGTTATACAGAACTTTCAACGGTTGCTTGTTTTGCTTTGCTTTGCTGCTGTTTAATGTTTTTGTTTTTCCCCCTTTTTTAACTTTCCTTCGTTTAAATTCTACTACTTATTTAAGGTAATAATTTCTGTTGCTTTCGTTTACGTTTTTGTTGTTGTTGTCACAAGCGAATGAATTTGTCATTCATCTTATTCAGCTCCTTCATCTTACATCGTTCCATCGCCAGATATCTAAAGGAAGCATAAAGAATGGTAGGATTATATTCTATAATAATAGATTATAATATAGTATCTAGCGAGATATCGAAAATATCGTTAAGTTTGATGTTTATCGATATATCTCGCTGGATACAATATACAAAAACTTTCAAATTCGTTGCACATTCACCTGCGAGTGCGAACTGTCGCTCTCCACCTGCTCGGAGTAGCAGTGCTTATAGTTAAGATAGTCTAGAAGTCTTCTCGGTAATGGCAATGTCTGTATTAGATCCTTTCGTATAACCGCCTTTAGTATAACAAATCTGAAATGACAGGTACACACGGACAGAGACATTAGTATTTGGATAGAAATTTCTGAAACAAAAGCAAACTAAAAATATGAAGCCCCGTAGAGTTCTGGCCTATCTCCGTGCCTTCATCCGCTGGCGCTGCGCACCAATTCGACAACCGTTGAAGAGCCCGAAAACGGGATGCACACCACATAGCCGCCTGGAGAGGGCCAAGATGCAGCTTCGTCTGAGCAAACGGGAGAACCCCAAGAAGGACTAGGAGTGCACTTTCTCACCTGCACATGTGCTGCAAGCTTTGTACATGCTTAAATCTAGATACTGGATTGGTTAATTGCACGCGCATTGGTCCGTGCTCCGGTCGACGATGCAGAAAGAACAGATATCTGGATGGAAGAAGAGATACAAGGATTAATTCCATGATGAAGCGGGTAATGCTAAGGTTCTTCTCACTCACCTGCCGCTTCTCGAATGCTCGACGGCCTTCTCAATGAACTCGGTGATGGTCTGCGATTTGAATTTAGCATACGAGCCAAAGGAGAAGGTTCCTGGTTGACGAAACATTTGCACAAGCCATTATAAATTTTTAGTTTTTCAAAGGAAATAAATAGCTTTTTACGGATCAACTTGATAGCTTCTTGGGAGAAGAATCTCAACTCACCCTGATCCTGTTCGATGCGCACATGACGCACACAATTGTTCAGCTTAAAGCTCAGCGAGAAGATGTAGTGATCATCAGAGCTGTCGCGCACTATGAAGGAACCATCCGGTTCGCTGGACAACACCTTCTCCGCGGCCTCACTGGACAGGGGACCCCAGTACCAGCCATACTGTCGAGAGGAGATGAGAGTAGGATTAGCTAAGAACTCAGGAAATGTTTCTAGATACTCACGTCTTTGACTTTTTCAATGCTGGAGGTGAACTGTAGGGCTCGCGGCTCCTGGGCATTGTTCTTTTTCAGCTCCTCGGGTTCCGGTTCAACGGCTTCAATGGCATAGGCTGCAGCTGTGGACAAGATATATAATTAGAGGTTTTTTAAAGGTAAATGATTCTTAAAAGGAAGATTCTTTCATAAGATTAAACCTATTAAAAGGAGGTATCTAAAAGGTGCTTTTTAAAAGGAAGAGCTCCCTAAGAGGAGTTTCCCAGAAAAAGGAGCTTCCTTAGAGGTGTTTCCTAAAAGTAAGATCCTCCTTAAAGTATAATCTTTCTAAAACCGTAAGTTTCCTCTAGAATTTCGAATCTCTTCTCACCCTTCTTTGGTAGTGGTGGCAGGGCACGTGACTGAAACTTTTTGCGCAGATCAGCATTCGGTTCGTCCGCTTCCGCTGTGGTTAATGCAGCTCCTCCTACTCCTCCTCCGCTGACGTTCAGTTCCGTGGCCAATTGCAGTTGTTGGGTGATCAGCAATTGCTGCTGTTGTCCAGCTACACCCGGCGCACTGGTTATCACAGCGGTTGGCGGTATTAGGGGCACCGTTGCCGCTGCTGCTGCCGCTGCACTCCCATTCACACTGCTACCGTTTCCGGTTCCCGTGCCAATGGTACCATTTGCATCACGACCACTGCTAGCTCCTCCCCCGCGGCAGCGACTGTGATTGCTACGACGGAAGCGAAAGATGCTGCAGAAACGCTGCTTAAGATTCAGCGTAAACTGTGACTTCTTCTCCGAGTGCAGGACGTGCTTGTTATTGGTGTGATTGCTGTTGTTGTGATTGTGGTGCTCCGTCGGTGGCTTGTCCAGCTGCTGCTGCTGCTGCAGCGATTGCTGCTGCTGCTGTTGCGTCTGCTGCACATTGTTGTTATTATTGTTATTGTTGAGCTTATCGTTGTCGAGGTTATGCTTGTTCTGCTTGCTGAGATACTTTCCACCGCCGCCATCACTGCTGGCTCCCCCAGCACCGCCGGCCGCCCGTGTGGTGCCCACACTGCTGCGCGTTCTCGCCGTTGTCGTGGTGGTATTGGTCGACACACTCCAAATGGTTTCGTTGCTGGACTTGACCATCATTGGCTTGGGCACACCCTGGGCCTTGCCAGCGTCGGAGTAGAGCGTGTGATAGAACTGCTTCACCTCGTCCAGCGTCATGTGCAGCGGCTCTGATTCACTAACTTGGCCCATAGCGCCCACAGGAGTTCGATATTTGCCATGCTTGCTGCCCTTCTCTCCATCCCCATCACTGGTCTCCGTGCCCGCACTTGCCGCTGTTCCTCCATAGCGCTGCTTGCGCTTGTTCCGCTTATTCCGCCTGCTCGCCTTGTGGTACGTGTTGGGTGCGGTGGACTTTTGCTGCTCCTGCTGTTGACCCAGCTGCTGCTGCTGTTGCTGCTGCTGCTCGATCATGTCCACGGGAAAGGCATAAATGTCCGAATCGATGGGCACATTGTAAAAGTCAGAGATCTCGCGCGTAAACAGAGCATCGTGCGACATGGCCTGGGTGATGAAGATCGAATCGTCCGGCTTGTTGGCGGAGGAGACATTCAGCGAGTTGTGCGAGCTACTCAGGCGGCTATTGAGCGAGTTCCTTGAGTTGGGCCTCTGGCCATGGCTGTACCCGTAGCCGGGCTGATGGTGGTGGTGATGATGATGATGATGGTGGTGGTGCGGATGATGATGGCTCCCATGGCCATGGCTATTATGATAGTGACAGTGGCTGGTGTGACCCAAGGGACTGTATAGCGAGGCCTGACGTCGCTGCAGACTGCTGTTGTCCACCGGCTGCCGTCGGGCGCCATAGTACAGATCGTAATCATGAATCTCCGACAGGCCGGCGCTATTGAATCTCTGCTGGGCAGCCGCTGCCTTGGCACTCGCTATGGTATCCTGCTCCGTGGGTATGGCCTTGAAGTAACGCGTATGATCCTGATAATAGGGACACAGTGTCTGCTTTATCTTGACTATGGAAACCGGTGGCGGTGGCGATGGCAACGGTGAGCAGCTGCTGGCCTCCGACTGCTCCTCCTCCTCCAGCAGATCGACGCTGTTGCCCAGCGAACTGCTCACAATGTTGTTGGGTTCATCGTATATATTATCCGTATGGCTGTTCAGGATTGAATCACTCGAATACAGATGCTTGTTGATCGCATACGACTCCTTGAGATTCAACTGACTCAGCTCGGCGTCCAGCTTGGATGTTTCCGTCTTGGTCAGAAGCAGGACCAGCTCTTGTGGCGGCTCCTCAGGCAATGCGTTGGCCGTCGGTGTGGTCAGGCCATTCATTCCAATGGTGGTGGTGGCATCGTCTTTGAGGTGCTCGAACGAGGATTGCGATGAGGTCCAGCGTCGCAGGCTGTTCACAATATTCTTGGAGATGGAACGCACCAGGGTGGTCTGCGGTGAATCCTGAAATTCAGGTGGCGGATCAATCGGTGCCAGCGGTCCCTTTTTCAGCGTATTAAAATTCTCAGCGCTCATGCCGCCCTCCGAGCAATTGTCCAGCGAATCGAACTGCGACACCTCACCGTCGCTCTCGACCATCTGCAAAGGGAAAAGTGTTTGATATTAATTGGATTTGTCTTTGGATTACAAGGCTTTCTGTGGCTTACCTCAATCTCGAATTTGCACATGCCCAGGCGGTAGGAGTCGCCGCTGGATATGGAGCTATTGGTGGTCAGTGGGACTCCACTGTCATCGCTCAGCGAGGCCGCCGCATTCAGCTCAATGCTGTTGGCGCTGACGAGTTCATGGTGAGGCGGTGGCATGATGCTGAAGCTGTCGCTGCTGCAGATGCTGGACACGCACACACCGCCTCCTCCTCCTCCGCCTCCTGATCCCCCGCCGCCACCGCCACCCACATTGCCATTCGAATTAGAGCTGCCGTTGGAGTTGCTGTCCTTAAGCTTAATGGACGATTCCATTTTCCGGGCAAGAGACTCAGGTGAGAGGCAACAACAGCTGAAGGATAAAAGATTGAATGGTTTATGTTAGATATATAGTTTTTAAAGAATATAAAAAGGTAGGATTCATAGTTTTAATATTTTTAAAAGTATTATTAATCCCAAAATTTTAGGTTTATATCTTTTATATGACAGAATTTTTACTTTTAAACAATGTTTTTTATAAAACTCTTAAGCCGGCAAGGATTTCCGAAGTCCCAGGATCACCTTTTCGCCTTTCTGTAGCCTACTTTTCATCGCAATTTCCAAAGATTTCAATTCGCCTGACTATTTCGCATTACTTATCACTAATTTAGGCCTAAATTCACGTTATTAGAGGCAAAAGCATTCCGCATAAACGATTTGCACTGTGTATTCGAGAGAGAGGAGACGCTGGCTGGCCGAGATTGATGGTATATAGCAAGGCGCATTGGCTGGGAAATTGACGCCCAGAAAATCGCCACTATATTATTTAATTTATTTTGTTTAATTTTTGTTTTTTTAGAGGGGATTCGAATTTGATTAATTGGATGACACACATCCCAACCTATGACCTTTGGGTGCGGCGGCTGCTGCTGCTGCTGCAGCTTGCAACGAATGCAATTGAAGGTCAATGACAGTTGCGTGCGCCGTTTTTCGTCCTGCCGCCCACTGCCGTCCCCCCTCCCCCTTCGGGCGCTACTCGCCCCTCGGTGGGGCACCTACGCTTGTGCTTGTGCGCAGAGAAATTGAAGCCAAAAAAGCAGACGAGATTTTTTTCCCCCTTTTTTTTGGGCGTAGAGATTTGGGCTTTTTGCGAAATAAAACGATAGTTTCCACGAGATCTCCTATCTATCTCCCTCTCTTTCTTCCCCTTTTGAAAAGTCGCCCAAAGGGCAATTTTCCGATCAGACTTCAAGTGCGTAAAAAGTACCGCTATAGTACACACACACATACACGCACGCTGCTGGCGGAGAATAATCGCAAGGAGTAGCCGGAAAAAGCAACCCCCCGCCCACTGCCCACCGCCACCCCCTTTAGCGGTCGTCGTCGTGCGTCGTCGTTTTCGTAGTACGACGTTTGCTAGTATTTTTTTTCGAAGCACTGATAGCGCTGATTTTCTGGGTGCCGCTACAGAGAGGGAGAGGGAGGGAGAGAGGGCGAATGCAGCAGCGATAACAAAAAATTCTTATTAGAATTTTGTCACTCTGTACATACACAGCTCTCCTCTCTACACACACACATACACTCACGGCAGGATGCAGGGCGGCGAGTATGGGAGTATGGGGTGGTGGGGGTATAAGAGAGCCACGACACCTACGCACGCACATACACAGAAACGGACCAACACACACACGCTCATACATACACTCTCGTGGGCACGTAACACCTTTGCTTAATTTAATTATTGCTCTCCTGGCTCTCGCGTACACACACACACACCAGCGCAGGGCCAGACACTCACACACGCGCCCAGCACTCACTCACACTCACAGCACTACGACACACACGAACACACACTAGCGCACACCCGTGCATTTGCATTCATTACAATATATTCGTTCTACCATTCTATTTCGCGTTGCATTTATCGCACCTGCCTTTTGCTGGCTGCTTTCCTTCTTTCCTATTGTTGGCACTGTGAACTCAGCACTGCGGGCACTTTCTTGTTGACATATTGATTGATTTTGATTGCACGCATTGCAATTGTTTTTCGGCCGTTTTCAAAGAGCTGCAAAATAGAGCTGGCAAAACATCGATGGCAATCACGATACTATCGGAGTTGCTCAAAGGTGCGATACATCAGTGCTATATCGATATTTCGCTTTCCGTGACTGGGAGAGCCAAGTTTTTCCTTCTTGATGTTTGCAAAGATTGAATTGTGTTAATATTCATAATTACCTGTTTGCCGCTTATTTAAACCCATTTATTTGATTGTTTATCCGATGTTTATAATCCAGGAAGAATATGATTGATTTACCTTGGGATGGTAAACAGAAATAAAATGTTGTGGAATATATTATGCAGGTGCAGGCCATATTGCGAAAAAGATTCTTTCCTGAAATTAACAAATGTAAATATTATTATTTTAAAAATATTTTTTAAATGTTTACTGTTGTTTCGATAGGCAAGTATATAAAATATTTAATGTTCTTTTAATATGAAACTATACGTTTTCTTAAAGTCACAAAAGGAAACATATATTCAATACAACTTCTAAAGAGTTTTGAAATATTTTAAGTAATTAAAAAATTGTTTCTGATTATAGGAAAACTTTGATATAAAATCAGGAATAAACATCGATACTTTTCCTCAAAAATCATCAATCATCAACCAAACATAATCAAAAACAAGCATGTGGTAGAAAGCCACTTTCCTCCGCCAGAGGGAGTTTTTCACCATTTGGCTAAGAGGCGCCACAACGGATGTAAGCCAAATGTTGTACCTTTGGTTCAATGTAAAATCTGGTTCTTTTGTTATTTTAATATTTTTGCTTATTATTAATTTATGTAAATCATGCAGTTTTTAGACGCACTAAATTAAGTACGAATTCTTCTCTGGGTTAGTATCAATATTTGATCATAAGAAATAAAGAAGAAAAGCTTAATGTGAAATGTAAAAATGGCAGTTTAATTTTTATTGCTTGACTTCTGTTAGCCTAAAAACGAATAATAATATTTACTAATATTACCTGAAAGTTGATTTAGACATGTTCATACTTGCATTTCCCGTTTTCAGGGTCATTTGGCGCAGCTCTTGAATTTTTTACTTTTTCTGCAGGAAGAAGTTGCCATTTGCGGCTTCTGGCCGCTACGGTCACCACCTGTGCTACCTATGCTGCCTGTGTTACCTGTTGACTGTTGACTGCTGTTACTTTCACTGCGACGAGCACGAACACGTTTCGTTGGGCCTTTGTTTGCTGTGCTTTATGCCTGCTTGTGCTTGTCCACAAAGTGCAAGAGTTATATTAAAATGACAAAAAAAACGCAAATGGCAAGTGGCAAAAATGGCAGCCAATGCCTTAGCCTTACCAATAATCGCATAAATTAGCAATTCTGTGTGCGGAAGTTTGTGGTGTTTGGGGCTCCTAACCCGAGGCTGGCTTTTCACTTACGCTCGAGACATGGCTCTCACTTTCGTTGCGACTCGCTGGCTGTCAAATATTTAATAATTTGTGCTAAAATGTGAATTAAATACATAATGTGTCGTTGTCTGGCGGTAACAACAACAATCGCAGTCCAAAGTAAATCCAAGCAAACACAATGCGACGCTGAGGAATGTCAACGGCATGCGAAAAAGAAAACGAAAAACAAGGCGAGACGGTTTTGCCACTCGAGCCTCCAAGTTGCATGCCACTTTTTTCCATTTTTATGTCACGTATTTTTCTTATTTCTTATTTATTTATTTATTTCGATATTTGTATTTTAGGTTTTTTGCCCCAGGCCCCGGCAATTGAGATCGAGAGAGAACTGCAATAAGCCGGGGGCTGAGGCTGAGCTGACCAACATGCCGATCCGATCCGATTACGAGCATGGCTATATAAGTGCACGGCCTATTCTTGTTGTAATTTAGGTAATTCTGGTATTTCCACACATACCTACATATATATAAAAACACTCGAACACATCACACCCACAGATGCCATCAGAATGGTAGCACGCCACAGGGAATATCTGCAACAAAAGCATAAAAAAGGTCAAGGAAATATAAAAAATAAGAAATATATATTTACATAATCCCAAAATATAATAAATAAATTAATTATTAGTATTAAAAAATAATAATATTGCTGGGTTGGGCATTAAATGTTGAGATTGGAGCCTTTTCTTTATACCTTTTGGCGGTTTTCAAGTAAGAAAAAACCTTTCTCTGTCTTTATTTTTCAAAACGGTGCCTCTTTGACTTTACCTTATATTTCTTGTTATTTAAAATATAAATAAATTGCCAAATATATTAAGAAAAACATTATAATTATCTACAATCACTATTATTTTGTCCTCTACTGTAACAGACACCGAGCGCCGATGCAGTCGGAGAGCGCGCCCAAAAATGCAATTGAGAAAAACCCACGCCATAAACAGAAACCCAAATAGACAAAGGCATTAAAGCCGATGAAAATCAACAGAAACTGGCGAGATGCCGATGCCAATGCCGCACACACACATTTACACATAGCTGCAGATATATTTATATCTGTATCTCTCATATAAAGTGCACGTGTGTGCGCTGTTACCTGCGCAGTCGCAGCATCTTTGCATTGGGTCAGGAGAGCACTGCGAGAAATCGGATGCCCTGATTACTAGCACCAGGGGAGGTGGTATGGGGGAATCCCAAGTGCTATCATTTGGGCAACACATGGTCGGGACTCTACTAACAATATTTACTATTTACATATAAACAGCTTGCCTCTCTTGGCCACAAAAGTTAAGTGTTCCGCAAAGACAACAGCTGGATTTCATATTTAAATAAAAAACCCATTTAAATCTCGGTTTACAAATCGATTTTTATCAAAGAACACTTGGGATAGCAAATGCTATATAGAAACAAAGGTGTTAAGTGCTGCAGGGGTGTAAAGATTGAAAAGGAAGAATCAGGTCTTAAATTGTTTTAAAAATAATGTTAGTATTGTAATATATTGGATGAATATTATAGTGGTATTTAAATATATAATAAAACATTTATTTATATTATTCTCCAGTGTAATTTCCTGTTGAGGAGGCTGATCCCAATATGTAACCAATAAAATATGTTGCTTAGTTTTGACAGAGTTACGATCTGGCGCAGAATTACTGCGATATGAGAAGTGGCTCCCCTGTCGCCTCGCTCTCTCCCTCTATATCCCCCTTTAATGCGAGTTCCAGCCCACCGCCTACGCCCATGTGCCCCGAGTCCTACTCTACCCTTCCTTCCATATGCCTGGAAGTTACCAATATAGCCACCAAAACCACATACCAAAGGAAGAAAACAAAAAAAAAACATGAAAATATCAACATGTTGTTGTTTGGTTTGTTTATACCCTATAAGTGGATATTGCAAGATTTATGTGTTTATATTGAAGAGACAACAAAAATACCAAAGTTTCAAATATAGGAGAATATAGAAAACAATTTAAAGACACATATGTACATAAATGTTTAAAGACAACATGATGTATGTTTTATATTACGATGAGATATAGGGTATCCCGAGAGCTTTAGGTTTCCAGAACGAGTTTTCCCTTACTTGTTTTTGTATCGTATCCAGCAGGTAGAAGAAGCACCAGCTGGCTCAGAGAGGCGGCCGCCTTAACTACAGACGGGTATTACCTGAAGTCGGGTTCCTCAGTTGCCGTCGAGTTTCAGTCCGCCAGCGAACGTCGTTACGATCACAACAGTCTCAGCTCACCGCTCACCGCTCACAGCTCAGCTTGGCCTCAGTTCAGATTCTCGGCTCAGGCTCAGACTCAGGCTACGGATTCGCTTCTCTTCTCTCCACGATTCTCCTTCTCCAAACTCAGATTCTTCGACCGGCGCGCGTGTCTCTGTATGTGTGCGTGTGCGCGCGTGTGTGTTGCTGTTGTGTGTGTTAGTGCTGCTAAAAATTATTATTTTTTTGTTAACAATCGTTGCTTTTTTTTACTGTGCCTTCCAAACTGGTTGCTGCTTTTTTTAACTGTGTATTTGTGCAGCCGCAGTAGCAGTTCGAGACGACGTCGACGACGACAAACGAACGAACAGCAACAAAAAGAAGAAGCAGAAGAATCTAGCTGCGGAAGAAGAAGAAGCAGAAGAAGCTGAAGATCACAGCGAAGAAGAGGAAGAAACGGAGCACACAACTGTAGTTGGTTGTTGTTGTTGTTAGTTGGTTCTGTTTTTCGGTTGAGAAATCACGAAACATAAAAAGAAAAACCGAAATTGAAGTGGCACGATCACCGGACAGATTACATATAAATATATACATATATATATAAATCCGACCGATATAGTTCCGGAATAATACATAACGATGCCCTGCTCGGCCGTTACCTTATCGATAGCGACGATCTGCGCTATCATAGCCACCGCCCTTCTGGCGATCGCCTTCTCCACGGATAATTGGCTGCACTACGATGTCTGGCGCAATCAGATACAGGTGAGTCGGTGCTCCAAAAGAGCTTGGAATACATAATCATCGGTCAGATATACATACATAATAAATGTGTATGTAGTAGCTGTGCATCTTTGCGACTGCGTGGCATAAGCCAAATCCGAAACGAAAGACTCTGCCCCTTAAAACGGAGCTTAAACTCCGCACAGTGGGAGTTGCATAAAAATTATATGGGAAAATAGAGTTTGAGGTTGAAATACAGAAGATCTTTCGCCTGAAAAAGGTTTGGATATAAATCTGAGTCTAAGCAGTCTAAAGTTTTTGCAGTTAAACTTTCCAATATATTTGAGTTTAAATAGATTTTGAGCTTACTATAACTAAATATCAAACAAATTCGTCTATTAAAATCCATAAGTATGTAACAGACCATTAAAAAAGATCAACTGAAAATAGTCGAGATATGCTTATACTAAGAATATATTGCTATGAATCCCTCAATATTTGTGTCAGTTTGGCGGCATTCATAATCTGGGTATCGTTCTCTTCCAAGAACACAATCTTGAAAGATTTGCTTAGGCAAACAAGATAATTAAATGCACTTCTTTTACACCATACATGAATGCGTGTGTGTTTGTGTTTATGCATGGCCAACAGGTGTGTGTGGCCCACTGTGCAGAGGGTGAAAAGGAGGCAAATAATGAAAGAAGAAGCAGCAGCAGCAGAGGTAGCAATAACAAAGGCAACAACAGTGGCGGCAGCGAACGGTGGTAACTAACAGTAACAGTCGCTCGTTTTGTGTGCTGCTTGGCCAGCAGAAAATAAGGGCAAGGCGGAGAAGAAGAAAGGAGAAAGAAGAAAGGTCGAAAGCAAACACAAGCACACGCACACATGTGCAGGGGGGAGGGAGGGAGGAGGAGTGCAGTGGACCGGTGGAGGAGGGCGGGCAACGGCAACGGCAATGGCCGTTAACGTTAACGTTAAAACTTTCTACGCGCGAGCGCTTAGCCAAAGCCAAAACGCGATGAACGATGAATGGGAAGCGAGCCAAAGAAGAAGAGCCCAGCCAGAAGAAGAAGCAGAAGCAACAGGAGAAGAGGAGCGCAGGCGCACCAACACCAGCACAGGTTGCCATTTTGCATGCAACACACAGATACACAGCAGACATATTTACAGTAAAACTCTTACAGATCGACATTTTTTGGTAATTGGAATTCGAATTGATATAGGGAAAACTTTAATCTTTATATGTAAAATAGATTTCAATACATATATCCTTTTATTTTACATTTGACCAAAATTTTAAAAGAAAGCAAAGACTCTATATTGGCTAAAATCAGTTAAATTACATAGAATTCCACTGAGATAAATCTTGAATTAATTACCTGGCACAGAGAAAAAATTCTTATTAATCACAGTTGAATCATATCCAATTCTAAAATTAGCTTCTGATCAGCTGGAGCTCGTAGTCTCCCCCACTGAGTATTCATAAATTAAATATACAAATGATGGCATTTACCACAATAACAAAAACAACATAGCAAATTATTCATTTGGTATTACAAAAATTCAACTGTAGAAAAGTTAACAGCGAATCAAAGGTGCAGCAAAGAAAGAGAGAACTTTAAACTGTTATGAGAGAGAGAGATAGCTACTTGGGCGATGGAAAGAGAGGCAACCAACGAACGTTTGAGTCTGAGTGCGCATACCAAACATACCAAAACAAGTTACCTAAAAAACAACAACAATAACTACACAAAATAAAATACAGACACATAAAAAAAGCGGCAGAAGCAGCGGAGAAGGAGGAAAACGACTCAAAGTGTGCTGAAAATATTTGCACGTTTTTTATTTTTCTGAGGTGAGGTGAAGTTGTCGCCTAATCCGAAAGTCGAGGGAACAATAATTACGGTGAGATCGGTGATCATTCCAACTCTCTCATAGTCTCAAGTCTCAATTCTTCACAATTCTCCAACACGATTTTTTCGGGGCATTTTATAAAGTCATTAGAAGAAATTGTTTGCCATGACCTCCCTTATTATTGGTACATTGTACCTTCTCTCTCTTGCCCTTGCTCCTTAGGCGATTTCCGCCCTTAGATAGGTCTTTGAAAAACACCGCTCAGGTGCAATATCAACAACAACAGGTAATTTGAGCTACCTGCACAGGAAATCCTCTTGATTGCCTTGAAAAGTGCCTACATTCCCGGAGAGAGTGGAAAATTAAACACAAAAATCGATTATGATCGGTTCTCCAAGGAGGGAATAATAAGATCCTAAGTTCACATGACTTTTCATAATGATCAGTAGGAATATTAACCCTTGGGAGAGATCTTTTCCCCATAAAGTCATCTGGGAAATGGTTTTATTTAACTTCATCTGAAGAGTTTTTAATCTGTTAACTTTTAATTGTCTATATTTTTATGGGGGTTTCAATCTTAATTGGTTAATAACAACTACTTATTAGTGGATATATTTATACCTATACATTTTATCATTCAAAAGATATAATTTACTAAAGGAATCTAACTTTGTGAAGGCTAATTTTTATATACCCCTGAAGTTTGAAATTGGGGGAGGATATTGGTATTTTAAATTATTCATAACTAAGCCAAAAATGCATTAATTTCAATTCGGAAAGCTGTTCTTTGCTGGTTTTTGTTAGGTTAATAAATCTGCATACTCAGTTTAAAATTTAAAACAATTTAAAATTTTGAAAATTTTTGAAAATTTTTAACAATGTAATCCCTTATAAAAAATGAAAAATTTAGGTAAAAATTTTTTTTCTTGCGGACATGGCTAGATCGATTCAGTTTTTCATTCTGATCAAGAATATATATGATTTATAGGGTCGGAAATGACTCCTTCACTGCATTTTAAGCTTCTGCCTGAAATTATAGTACTCTGGAAGGGTAAGGAAACAAAGGATTTTTATAAGTCAAAAATACAAATGTTCCTATCTAATGAAGTTTCTTTTTCTGGATTCTCCTCATTTCTCTCTAATTTTTTTAAGAATTCAATATCTAAGGAATATATATTTACTTAAGACATGCAAGCCCTTGCTTATATTTAGTTTAGTTGGTCAAGTTTAAGCCCTGGAAGAGCAATGTCCCTATCTACTCTGGGCTTTTCTTTACTGACTTTTCAATCACCTCCTTAATGCAATTAGTTTCTTTTTTTAGTTGATAAATACAAGAATATATATATTTTTTATACACCACCTCTTCAAGTCTCTCTCATTTTCAGTTGAGTAAACAATATGCAGGCTCTGAAAGACTAGGGTCCCTATCTATCCACCAATCCAATCCAATCCCTTTATTATCTCGAAAGTACTCAAGTATCGAGTACTCGGATACCTGCTGGGTATGCCAGAGCCACATCGTGTCTTAGGCCAGGCCATTTGGCTTTGGCTTTGGCTTTGGGGCAATGGAGCCGCATATCCACGCCTATATCTCGGTGCCGCCTCCCCCAGCCCCCCTGTAAAGAGGCCCCTTCCATAGCCTCCTTACCCTTACACTTTGATAAACTGGTTTCCCAGTTGAGTTTTCACTCGATTCACGTTTTCGAGACAACAACAACGACGACGCCGACGACGACGACTCAAAATTGGTATGCGGCTAGTTGGCCGGTTTGCTTTGGCAGCCACTTGGCGTTTTTGGGCCCTAACTCGACGCTGTTGTTTCTCCCATTTGGTAAGGAGGTAGGAGCGAGGAGTGGGAGGAGGAGGGGCTTGGCCATGGGGGATCCCCGGGCACCCAAAGCCCAATTGATGGCACTGCGTTTTGGCCGTGTCTTCCAACTTGAAATCGGCGTGGTTCGTTGTTCGATCGTTGTGAATAAAAAAAAGAGAAAACCCTTCTCTCCACACGACACCAACTCTTAAATCTTATATATGAAACTGATCGTGAGCACACACTTTTTTGTGATTAACCTGAATTTTTTAACAAGCTAAATACCATTTTGATATAAAGAAAATAAAAGGATTAAATTAGAAGTCTCTTGGAAAATAAGCCTTGGAGTTTATAGTTTAGATAAACCTTTTTTTGTGACAGATACAATTTTTTTATTTTAATGATGCATTAAATATATCTTTAATCTGTAATATATATAGTTTTGTACCCTTTTAATTTTAGTCAGAAGACTAAAACGCAGTGAAGGATTCATTTCCGACCCTATAAATCATATATATTCTTAATCAGCATTAAAAAACGAATCGATCTAGCCATATTAGATGGAAAAAAATTTTCATAATTTTTTTCATACTCTTTTATAATTTTAAAATGTAGAAAAAATTGATAAAAATTTAAATTTTTTTAAATTTCAAACTGAGTATGCAGATTTATTAACCTAACAAAAACTAACATGGAACAGCTTTCCGATTTAAAATTAATGCATTTTTGGCTTAGTTATGAGTTTTTAAAACGTTGATTTGTCGATAAAATTTTCATATAAAAATATATATATATATATCGACTCAAAAACTGTCAATATTTTGAACTTAGTTATGGCCAATTTCCGATACAATCCAAAAGCAAACTGCCAGGGTATATAAACTTCGGTTTCCCAAAGTTAGATTCCTTTTTTTGTAATATTTATTATTTCTTTCTGTGCATATATGCACTCCATATATTTATTTTCCCCGCTCCTTGGCTTCTTTCTTCGATTTCATTTCACGCCAGTCTCACTTTGGGCAATGCAATGCCGACGACGACAAAAAAACTAACTACAAAATAAGTATATACACATATGTATAAATATATATATAAAAAAGCGAAAACATTAAAGAAATACAGAAAAAAAGCTAACCCAAAACCAAAGCCAAATCAAATATCAAATGAAAAGCTGCTGCTGCTGCTGATGTTGCGGCTTCTGCTAACTTGGCTCTTTCCAGTTGCCTGTTTTCCCTGCGGGCTATGTTTATTATTTTTGTTTTTTTTTTGTTTGTTAATGTTTTTTCTCTCTCATCTGACTCCAATGAATGAATTTGCGAATCGTGCTGGGTCTTTACGCTTTGTAAGCTTTTTGTCGGGGCCCCAAACACATGTTAAT